GGGGGGGGGGGTTATCCCCTGGGGGGTTTTATCCCCGGGTACCTCCGCCGTGCGCCCTTCGCCGCCTCCCCAGCCGCGCTCTCGGCATCACTCACCGCCCACCAAGCCCGCCACGAAGTCCTGCAGCTGGAGGCTGCCCATGCTGCCCCGCCGAGCGCTCCCGGCGGGCAGGGATCCCGGCGGGCAGGGGATCCTGACCGGCAGGGGCTCCCGGCGGGCAGGGGCTCCCAGCGGACAGGGATCCCGGCGGACACGGATCCCCGCGGGCAGGGGATCCTGACCAGCAGGGGCTCCCGGCGGACAGGGGCTCCCAGCGGGCAGGGGATCCTGACCAGCAGGGGCTCCCGGCGGACAGGGATCCCGGCGGGCAGCGCTCCCCGGCCGTGCGGCTCCGTGCGCTCCGCGTTCCGCGCCGTTCCGCGGCTTCCAGGCGCTGTGACATCACGGACCGCGGCTTTAAGGCGCCGCAGGGGCCGCGGACACCGCCCGGCCGGGGCGGGGAGGGTCGCGGTGCAGGCGGGCGGGACCGCGGCTCGGCCGGCGGGGATGGGCGCACAGGGCTGCGCATCAGCCCGGGGCGGGGGCACCGAGGAGCGGGAGGAGCAGCGTCGCTCCTTGGGCAGGTAAGGGGGAACGGGGCTCGGTGTGAGCGGGGGAACAGGTAGGGGTGTGAGGAAGGTCATTGCACTCGCCAATTGAAGATGCAAGTACAGAGGTAAAGAGTATTGCACCCTTAATCAGTCGAAAAATATCTCCGTTCCCTTCATTGAAATGACTGTGCCGTCGTTTGAGGAGATACCCCCAATTTTTGTATGGAGATACCCCCAATTTTTGTATGATCTTTCCAGGAGATAACTCCAATTTCTTTATAATCTTTCCAGAAGATCACTCCAATTTCTGTATTTTGGGAAGCAATGAAGAATTGCCCCCCGGATGATTCCTTCTACGTAATATTTACAATTTTCTTATATATTTGTTATATAAATAACTTTTCCCTCTGTCCTGCTTCTTCCTCTGTCCTGTCTTTCCGAGAGTCAAGATTCCAGACCTGGTTTATTCTGCTTTCATGCAGGACGTTCCTTTTCACCCTGCTCCATCATTTTTGTTTAAAGTCTTTCAACTGTGCAGCCAGAGGCACCAGTGATAGGAAAGAACGACTCAGCAGAATAAAGATATTTTCTGTTTTGATCTCAACCCCTTTTCTGGGGATTCCTAACATGCCTTTCTGATTGGGACTGGAGGCTGGGCTCCCTCCCTTGAATCATGAATACCTGATCTTGAGCCCAGCCTGGCTGTTGTGCCTCCTCTGTGGCACTTTCAAATAGTAAATCTAATGTTTTACACCTGAACAGCACCTGGCCACTCAGTGCAGGACCTCCTCACCATCCTCAACCCGCTCTCCTTGTGCTCACCAACTCCATCAGAAATGTCCTCTTGGACTTCAGGGGCATGACTGCTCCCAAAAAGATGTCTTGGCCCTTGGCCACTGTACACATACATCTGGGTGAGGTTTATACTACAGCCCAAAGCAAATTTTATTCTCTCCCAGCTAGATTTCTGTAGGTGGCAGTTCCTTGTGTCAGTTTTGGAGGCTTTCTGACAAGATTGGCATCAGGTTTGCTACATTGTCTTCCTTAAATGCAAGGTTGGATTTTCTTGAAATGTATTTTGTCTACTTGTTCTGATAACTATAGAAAGTGTTGGTAGCCCATGAGCAAGAAATCCTGAATGCCAAACTACTGGCTGAAAATACAAATATTTAAATTTTTTCCTTAAAAGATTGGTATTTCCATTGCTAAATTATATATTCCACAAAAAGGCCTTAAAACAGTGTTCCCTTATGTGCTTGCACATATACACAGGAAACCTTACCACCGAGTTGGCTGAAGGGGGCTTTTGTCGAGAAACTGCTTATAGAAATTTAATATTGTGTGCATGGTTATCAGCTCAGATAATCTACACCTGAAACTTTAGATTTTTCAATGCATATAACAATGCTCATTCTTCCTGAGGAAGGTTTTCCTGAAGCACCACGTCTCTAATGAACTTTGAGGGGGACTGTGGTCCTGGATAAATGTTGGAGAGAACATGTGTGCACAAGCACTGTGGAAACTTGTCAGTTATTTGTTTTCTTAAACTTGCTTTCTTCTTTTTAGAAGAAATATTATTCCACATATACACTAACACAGAAAAAGGGTTTTGTCCTCATTTTTCATGCACGTTTTCTTGCACAACCAGAAGAAAAGCTGGCTGAATGAAGTATATTATTCAGATAGCACATTAATCATTTATCATATGAATTCTCTTTAACTGGGTGTAACACATTTCCATGACAAATTCAGAACATCTGCTAACCCAGGCAGAACACTGGACATGGTCTTTGTGCAACGCTGAACCTGGAGCTGAAACCACGTGTTGTGGAGAGTTTAGACAGCTCCTGGGCTAGAGGAGGGAGGCAGGGAGGCAGGGGCAGGCTGAAGGGAGATGCCCTTGCTGCTGTCCCTGTGAACACACCCAGGGGTGCAGGATGCTCGAGGCTCCTGCTGACAGCAGTGCCCACGAAGCTGGGGATGATCCCAGTGTGGGCAGGGACCTGTGTGCAAGCCAGGACAGTCAGTGTTTGCTCGGCCCTGCAGTGCCCTGCTCCTCTGTGCTTTGTGAGGGGGTGTTTGTCCCTGAGGCACAGTGGCTGCCACTCAAAGAGGTGGCACATCCTTAGTGCCAGCTGTGGACTGGGAGCAGGTGAGTCACTCCCAGCCAGGCTGAGGCATCCCTCTGGTTATGCACAGCTGAACCTGTGCTGCAGCTCCTTCTGCTGCTTTCAACAGCCTGGCCTTGTGGAAGGTGTCCCTGCCTGGCAGGCAGGTTGGAACTGGATGAGTTTTAATGTCCCATCCAACACAAACTGTTCTAGGATTCTATGATTCTGTGATTTTTACCAAACTGGACTGACCTAAAGCAAAGCTGCTTTTGGGCAGTGGCACTGGCAGGGGCATCTTTGCTCTCAGGAGTACTTTCCAGCATGCTGCCACATCCAGAGGCTTGGGGCTCTTATCTCTGCCTGCTGCTGTCAAATACAGCTCTGTTTGTGGAGAGCTGTGCACACACCTCCATCTCCCAGCTGGCAGGGCATCTCCTTTTACTGGTAACAGGCAGCAGTGACATATGGAGAGCTGGGAAGGGATCCATCCTTTCTGCTGCTCTGAGTCCCAGCCTGGCTTGTAGCCACTCACAAGTGCTGGTCAGAGGCAGATAAGTGTGGTTTCGATTAGGGATCAGGAATTCTCTTCCCCCTGCCAAGAGGGAAACAGGGAGATTGTGTCATCCTGAACACTCTGGATTCTGCCCCCTTCTCAACTACAAACCCTTTTTTTTTCCTTTCTTATTTTAGAGTACCACTCTCTTTTGACCAGTTTACATAGTTTCCACAGCAGGTTTATAATGCTTCCAATAAAAAGGAAGGCATTTCCCACTGTCTTACCTGGAGCTGTGTATTTTCTCTTGGAGAGCATTGCAGTGAAGGAACTGGGAAACTTGGAACTTGTGGTAGATTCACACTTAACTGCTCTGGGAATTAAGGAATCAAACTCAGCAGAGACAAAGTATGTTAGAGATAGAAAGGAGTTATTAATTCCATATCCATCTGTAAATGATTTCTGGGCTAGGATGCATTTCACTGTAAGTTCACTTTCAAATTACCTTTAAATATTCCTTTTAAATTCCTTTAAAGTATTAACCTGTTAGTAACAAACAATGGCTTAAGCTGCTGGACAAGGTACAAGTGAAATGACATTAAACCTCACTTCTGCAGCCAGAGTCACTGGTACCACATTCTAGTGCTTGGTGTCTCTTTGAGGGGCTGAGTTACACAAGCAGAGCCCAGTAAATTAAAAAAGCAATGTACAAACAGTCTGAAGCAATGTGTAAGTGATGATAGGAGGACAACTCCATGGCTAGAGCCACCAGACAGATCCAGGCTGTGGGAAGACATGTCAGGGGGCACATAGCAGAAATAGTTTTTCCCTCCAGGAGCTACCAAACAAGACTGTTTCTGTAGGCAGCAAAACATGAATGCTTGCTCTGCAGGAATGTGCATGGCAGATGAATTAGAGGCTGCAAACACACCAGAAACAGGCATGGAGGGCCCCACTGTGAACAGCTGAAAAGCTCTTCCCTGCCCTTCCTTGCCCAGGACCTGGGGAGGGTTCACTAGAGGAGAAGCATTCCAAGAAGAGCAGGGCAGTGAAGGGAATCCTCTGGTCTTTTCATCATCTGTATCTATATCATCCATATCATATCATATCATCATATTATATCATATCATAGTCATATCATATCATCATCATATCCGTTCTCTATTTATTTTTATTTAGGGAACTCTTCTGACAAATGCCTGAAGTAGCTGCTATCCCAGGAGAAGATCTCTCTCCAGACCTACAGGCAAGACCCAGCTGATGCAGTTCCATGGTGCTGCACAGAGCTGGGACCGACTACCCTCAGCCTCCAGCACCAGGCATCTAACATATGTAACATACCTAACATATCTAACACATCCCCCCAGATCCCAGCCTGGCTGAGCACCAGCCAGCAGTCAGGGCAGACATTCCGTGAGCAGCTCTCAAACTCCATCCAAGACCTTTTCTTGAGAGAGATGAGCAGCCCTGTCCACTGCACCGAGCTCTTCCTCTGCCACAATTTCTGGAGAGCAGGAGAAGCAGCAGTATCTGGAGCTGGGTGAGCTGCAGCCACACTCCCGCCCAGGCAAGGCTGACTGTCCCATAAGCTCAGGAGGTTTTGGCTGAGATGAGCCAGCTCAGCAGGACATTCTTGAAGCTGAGAGCAGAGCAATGTAAAAGCCAGCTGCAGTATGGCAGCAAAGGTGTTCTCTGTCCTAGCATGAGGAGACAGCCAGCTGTGACTCATTGCTCCCATTGCCTGGTTCATTTTCCACACAGCAGCTATTGATAAGACCTGGAAAGAGCAGGAAGTTTCCCTGGCAGAGGCAGCTGTGCAGGTGACCTGTGGTTGTACTGCTGATGAGCCTGAGTGGAGCATTTGCCCAAAGCCTTGACCAGGTTTCTGAGTTTTGACCATTTGATCAACAGCTCGTGGCATCCAGCTCAGCCCCACCATACTTCATGGTCATGTCACAGAACCACAGAGTGGTTTGGGTTGGAAGAAACCTTAAGGATTCTCTCATTCCACCCTTCTGCCATGGGCAGGACAGCTTCCACTAGATCAGTGTGCTCAGGGCTCCATCCAAACTGGCCTTGAACACTCCCGGGGATGGGTCATCTCTGGGCAGCCTGTTGCAACCTCACAGTGAAGAATGAGGTGTTGGGAAAAGGGCTGGTAGGAGGAATCTTCTCAACACTTGGGACAGGATTTATTCCTTTGAGCTTGACATTTTCCTTCTCAGTTCTCTGCCTGGGCAGCCCCCTT